TGTGCTCTAGGCACCAACTTGAGAATCCACTTGTCCTTGCCCTTGAAGTTGTTCCCAAGAGTGATGCTTCCTTCATAATCCTTAATTGATGCCCTTAAGTAACCCTATAAGAAAGGGTTGCATATTCTTCTTTTGGTACCCAAATTTTCTTGGGTCCATATAAGTTAGGCAATGGAACATAAGTTCCTTTTGGAACCCAAATCTTCTTTGACCTCAACTTCTTTCTAAATGGACAATCATGAATCTTATGTCCTAATCTTTTACAATAATTGCATTTAGAGGATTGGGTACCACTCTTGACAAAGTGATCATTCAAAAGCCTTTTTATTTTTAACAAACATGCATCTTTAGTGTGAGGATCATATTGTATCTCATTTTTGAAAAAGACATCTCTTTGATTTCTAAGTATAGTACTCAAATTCTCCTTTTCTTTGGTAAGCTTTGCTAACATGTCATTTTGATCATGAATTATTTTCTTTAAAGACTCATTTTCGGGAATAAGATCAATTGATGAAGATTCTTTAGAAAATACACATTTCATTTCATTTTTCAATGACTCATTTTCAATTTGAATCTTTTCTAATTTTTGCACAAGATGATGATTTTCCTTTTTCAAAAATTCATTTTCTATTTGAACTTTTTCATGTCTTTGAATGATATCATGGTTTTCCTTTTTAAAGGAAGCACATTTTACAAGCATATTTTCTAGCACACTTTGTAACTCTTTAAACGCATCAAGTAATTCATTATGCTCATCAACTAATTCATTATAGGAAGTTTCTAAATTAAAGGATTCATGATTAGAATTTACCTCATTTTCATTGGCCATGAGACAATGATTAACCAACTCTTTGATGTTACTTGCTTCTTTTGTAGAAGCTTGGAGAGCTATACTCTTCTTTTGCATTTCATCACTTTCTTCACTATAGGTGGATGAGTTAGTTCTACCAATAACATTCAAATGATTAGTAATGTTAGTAAAACTACAATGCATCTCATTTATGCAAGAGGGTTCATTTATATTTGATTTATTATCATGACTTGATCCAACATAGGCTAATTCAAGCAAGTCCCAAATTTCTTTAGCCGTTTTACAAAAGATAACTTTATTGAATTCATTTTTGCTTAATGCACAATAAAGATAACATATGGCTAAATCATTACATTTAACTAATCTATGGTCATTTTCATCCCATTCCTCTTTCGATTTAGGAATTTTGATCCCTTCAATAATTTTGGTTGGGATATGACTACCATATTCTATAACTTTCAATAAATCAATATCAATACTTTTTAGAAATACCCTCATTCTAATTTTCCAATAGATATAATCATTTTCATCAAAACAAGGAGGTTTATCATTGGGTTGTCCTTTTAAGTGGGTGATACTACCATTGTTGGCCATGATCGTACTCTAAGACGATTAAGTCCTTTAATTAGAGTTAGGCTCTGATACCAATTGTTGCCCAAGAATTGACTCTAGAAGGGGGGTGAATAGAGTCAATGCCAAACAATGGATAAATTTCGCAATATATAGAAATACAATTTCTATTCAACAATTTAAGTAATTATGCAATAATCAAGATATGAAATCAAGATATGGAATAAGCAATTAAAGCATAATTATAAGAGAGATAAGGGAAAAGAAATTGCAAACTACAACACGGCGATTTTTGCGAGGTTCGGAAACTCCTACTCCTCGGCTCAAGATCCCTCTTGAGACTTCCCAATCCAATATAGCTTCTCCTTGCGGGTGGAGAGCAAACCTTTACATGAAGCAAGACCTTGCTTCTTTTTCTTGCTAGGAAAACACCCTTCTCCTAGGCTTCTTTTGGGTCACACCAACCCTTACAAGTTTGTAGAAAAGATTGTAATTGAAATACAAGATTGAATCTCTCTCAAGATAGATATACAAGTGCAAGCTCACAAGAAATATCTCTCAAAGATTGATGTACAAACTTTAGCTCTCAACTAGAGTATATATGAATATAAGTGAAGCTCAAACTCTATAAATGATATGAATGAGAGAAGATGATATAAGTGAACAATGTAAGCTTTTATAATCTCTCAAGTGAATAATAGAGCAAAAACTCTATGAAGATTAAAGTAAGAGCAAAAGCCCTTTTAATCTTTGCTAGAATCTCTCAAGATAGAATAAGAGTGAATGAGAGAGATGAGAAGATGAGAGAACAAAAGCTCTCTTGAAATGTAATATTATGTCTCTCAAAATGGTGGTCTATTTGCTTCAGCAAAATGAGCCTTCCTTATATAGACAGCCGTAGCTTAATATGTCTGTTAGAAGTAGTTGGAAGACTTAAATGCAAAAAAGTGTCGTTGTAGATTCAAATATCTTAGAAGAGGCGGCTCTACAAAAAATGGGAGGCGGCTCCAATAACTGGGAGGCGGCTCCAATTCACAAAATGCATTCTACGACACACAATTTGGCTACTGGAGTGCAAAGAGGCGGCTCCTATAATTGGGAGGCGGCTCCAATAAAAATGGGAGGCGGCTCCAATAAAAATGGGAGGCGGCTCCAATTGATAAAATGTGCTTGCTTTAGTTTTCATGGAGGCAACACCTTGTTTTGTATTTTGATAGAAAATGGCATGACTTCAAATGGACATAACTCAGTCCATGAAACTCCAAATGAGGTGAAATTTAAGTCTAAATTTATTGCCTTGAAGTCAGCTTTCTAAATCCACTAGCCTTGCTCAAAAATTCCAAACACAGAAGAAGTTATGGCTATTTAAGTGCAACATGGTCAGAATTTTCGCAGAGCAGAATCATGTATTTTATGAAGCTCATATCTCAGTCATTTTTAATCCAATTTAGGTGAAATTTGAGTCTAAACTTAAGGGCTCGAAGTCAGCTTTCTAATTCCACTGGCCTTATATAAAAATTCCAACTACACAAATAGTTATAGCATTTTGAGTGCAAGCTGGTCTGGAAATTTTCTAGGCTGAAAATTGCTTCTTTTGAGATATTCATTTTTCTAGCACCTAGGACTTTGATGAATGATTCAATTTAGTTCAAAACCTATTTCTAAGAGTCTAGGGACATATAAGGATGATAAATATCAAGTTCATTGTGTCCTAGAGTCATTTACTAAATTATAGCAACAAAGACTTTAAAGATGAAATATTAAGTTCAATGCCTTTTCCTTTTCTTTCTAGACACCAAAGTAAATCTTATGATTAATGTGCATGGTCCTAGCATTTCTAGCTTAGGTTGTGAGTTCTTTCAAAGCTTATACAAGCTTGAACTAACCCTTTCTTAGCAAAGACTTCATATGACAATATCTATGAATGAAGTGCAAAGTCTATTACTAAGAATATAGGAATATTTGAATGATGATAATATGCATGATCCTATAGAGATGAGTTTCAAATGGATTCATAAATACTTTGACATTGAATCCAAAACACTCACCATCCTATCTACCCCTTTTCTTCATGCATTGTCCATGATCGTTTAGGCTTGAGGTAGTATTGCTTTCTTTCTTCCTTTGAGTTGCTTTCTTGCTCATTGAAGTCCAAGCTACCTTTGGACATTGCATTTTGTTCCTTACAACTTCATGTCTTCATTGTATCCATTTCTTTCCTTTATGTGATCTTGAGTAATGGAATACTTTGAATGATCTTTGGTACTTCATTGAGGTCATTCTTTGAATGTGAATAATCTATATAACACTCAATGTAAACATTAGTCCTTAAACACCATTAATGGTTTGTTATCATCAAAACACCTAGATTGTCATTGGATGAAATCCTTAAGGTCAACACATACACTTACACTTAGAAGATAAAGTTTTATCACTTGAGAAGATTCATGGGAGTAAAAATCCAGCAAATATGTTAACCAAGACAGTGACAATTGAAAAACTGAAGCTTTGTTTAATTTCAGTTGGTGTTCAAGCTTGAGGACAAAGGAGTGAGTTGCTATGGTGTTTTGCTATGTATGAAGGCATGTGGGAGTTGACAGTTTGATGTTTTTCAATCTCCAAGTGGGAGATTGATAGGTAGTGTGGAGCCTAATAGATACTGTACACCAAGATCCAACTTATTTGGAGGGTATTTTGGTTATTTTCAACTTGTTATGTTGACCTAGTGCGAGGGTATTTATTCATACTGAATTCTCTGTATCTGTAGCCGTTTCTTTATCATCATAGTGAAATTCCTACAACCCTTGGACGTAACCCTAAATTTTGGGTGAACCAAGTAAAATCTGTGTGTTGTCGTTGTGTGTGTGTGTTTGATCTATTTCTTGTGTTTTCTGTTTAATTTCGCAACACTCTCCTCTCTCGCTATGTCACGGTACACCCTCTCTCTCTCTCCTCTTTCTCTCTTCACACATAGTATACCATGGAATATATATATATATATATATATATATATATATATAATATGTATATCATATATCTGCTGGTTGGGGAAAAGAAAAGGAAAGAGAGGAATTGATTAAAGGAAAAAAAAAAAGATTCTTTTGCCTGTACGAGAATCCTTCTTCCTCTTTTTATTTCCAACTATAGATCTTCATATACGTATACACAGGGGAAAAGATCGAAAAGGAAATAGATGAATTTATTTGAAGAAAAAAATAAGATTCTATACACAGGGAAAAAGAAAAGGAAATAGAGGAATTGGCTAAAGAAAATAAATAAAAAAAATAGGAATGAGAATGGTTATTACATTCTCTGTTTGTATCCAAGCAGAGAAATGAGAATGATCATTCCATTCCTACATCATTCTCATTTCATTCTCACTTACATTCCATTCCTGCCTCATTCCTTCCATCACACCAAACTCGGCTTTAACATATAGGGTAAATTACACCTAGACCCCCTGAGGTTAGGTCATTTTACACCCAGATGAAGATTTGGGTTTTAACTTTCACTTACACCCCAAGTTGTTTTTTGAATTCTGACCCATGTGAATTGACCCTTTTACCCTTAATTTTTTAATACAATTTAATAAAAAAAAAAATTCCGTAACTCTAAAAGACAAAACTACCCCTTTCATTATATACATACTAAATAACACACACCAAACAAACACCCAACACACCTCTTTGCATCTCTCTCTCCGAGCCAAATACAAACCTAGCCACCGACCGACGCACGAAGAGGCAAAAAGAAGCAACTGGACCGGGAAGATCAAAGACTTTTCTCTCTCTCATCGAAATACACCTCTCGTTCTCTTTCTCACTAGAGTACTTGGATGTTTACCTTGTAGCAGATTGGACAAATAGTCTTCGCCACAAATGGAGATGGATTGGAGATGTATTCTGCTACTGATTATTGAATAGATCTCAGATTCTAGTTCTGAAGGTACGATCTCCATATTCATTTTCATTCTTGATATGTTAGTCTTCTCTTTCTAGGAACTCATATTAATACTTTTTTTCCTTTGTTCTTGTTCAATTTTTTGTATCCTTCTCTTCCCATTTCACAATTTGATTTGAAATTTTTTGTTTAAATTTTTGGTAGTCTCTGCTTATCTTCCGATATCACAATCTGATTCAATTTGTTTTTAATTGTTGAACATTGGTCAACAATTTTCTGATATATTGCGTGTGTATACTTAAATATATATATATATATATATATATATATATATATATATATATATATATATATATGTACTTGCTGCATCTACAAGTTATAGTGTTTGATTGCTGAATAGTTTCTTTATAGTCTTCATCTTCCTAATTTGAATAATTGGTTGTTTATAACACCAATATATCTTTTCTGTTTCACTTTTAGAGTTTGATGTTTTAGGGAAATTTCTCTTTTTATTTATTCCAATCATTTTTTAATAACTTCAGATTAAATATAACATTAGGACCGATGCCTTGGTAAGTGTCTAATGATTAATTACTAGAAATCGTGACAGTGCCCTTTTGATTTTTGTCCATACAATTGACCATATGAATAATATGGTGTACTTACCATTTTTATATAATAAAGCATAGCAACATTGGTCAATATAATGGCTGAGGAAATAAAAACAAGATAAACTTTTGCAATTTTTTTATGCCATTAAAGTATCAATTTTCTAAAATACTTCTACAGTGTAATTTAATATAAAATATAAAGATTAATGAAGTGTTTTGAAAATATTTTGTGAGTGTGCGTAAATTTATATATATTTTTTGTACTATAGGATTGCAATTCGTCTTTTTTTTTTTTTGGTTTCTATCAATTTGAGTGTCTACATTTCATATGTTATTTTGCGTGTTCATGTTTTGGTTCAATTATTTTTGCATACTGTACCCAACTTTTGGAAAAAGTTCTGCGAGTCTGCATTTCATTTCTAATTCCAGTGAGGCTTTTTTTTTTTTTTTTTGAAATATATTATCTGACATGTTTGTTGTGTGTTATTCCAGTTTGAAATGGCATATGACAGATTGCATGATATCATTGTTCATTTTGAAGGACACATACATGTAATAGGGAATGTTCATCTAGACAAGTTCAGTTATTTCATGCTGTATAATAATGTTATTATATTGCTGAAAAATGATGTTCAGAAAGGTGCGGCATTGAATTTTTTCTTTAAAATTTCTGGAACTGATCAGAAAGGTGCGACATTGACTTTAAGTTGGGAATGTATTGATATATTTTGAGACTTTAAGTTAGAATTATTTATGTATTTTGAGCCTTAAAGTTGGGAATGTATTGATATATTTTGAGATTTTAAGTTGCTGTAACAAGTTTTCAAAATTGGATTAGACATAACACATATTTTAGCTTATCAATTGCTGTAACAGGTATTAAAAAGTTGCAATCCTCTAATAGGTTTTAAAAATTGGACTGTAACAGGTTATGATTTTAGAGGTTTAAAAAAAAAATTACAATTGTTTTACATGTTTTCAATTTAAATTAAAATTTGTTGACCAATTGTATTACGGGATTGTAACTAGGTGTTTTTTCAAAAAAAAAAAGAAAAAAAAAGGGGGGATTGTGCAAGGTACAAGAATTTTAATATGATTATAACAGCTATTTTACATTCTAATATGTAACCAATTAAGAAAGAAATAAAATATGCAACCAATTAAGAAAGAGTATTATAATAGCTAACGTCATTGTTAGGAAAAAAAAATAAAAAGAATAGCAAAAGGCAACAATTATATGTAGCAAACAGCTGCGGCTTGTAAGGTCAATGGGGGTATTTTAGTCATGAAAAATTTTGAGGGGTATTTTAGTCATGAAAATTTTGAAATACATTTTTTTAAGTGAACAAATGGTGAAAAAGGTAGAATAGTCATTTTATACTTAAAAAGTATTTTACTTACACTCCAAATTGACATTTGAGGTGTAAGTAAAATATAAAATCACTCTTTCATGGAGTTTAGGTGTAATTTACCCTAATATATATCAAAAGCTACCTCCTTAATTGCTCCTCGTGTGATGTGTGAGATGATGTTCATGCTGACTCTGTTTTGTTGTTTTGCGTTTTGCTTTGTAAATAATAATAATAATAATAAGTGAACAAAACGGACGGAAAAAAAAAACGAAAAATTAATTGCTAAATAATTGAAAAAAAAAATTAACGGCTATATATCACTAATTTAATACACTGCAGATAAATTAATCTGCTAATAGTCAAGTGCAATCAATATAGATATATATATATTTCCGAAATTTTAAGCAAATTGTATATATGTATAAATATTTACAAGTCCTTAAGGCCAGCAGCCCAACAACTAGGCAGCCGAAGGATCAACCCAACCCAATGTACAATAACTGCTCTGAACTGCTTTTTCTCCAAACCACCATCGTTGGTGCAAGCAAAAGATAGCTGTTGGAACTGAGCTTTTGCAGTTAGCAATGGCTGTCTCAACAATCGAACCGAAATCAAGCTTCAATATTTGGAACGCTTTTCAAGTTTTGATGCAACCGCTTTTACAAAACACTGGCTAAAAATGACGTATAAATGAATTTTCATATGATTGTAATTATTTTCTGTAGTTTTTTTTTTTTTTTTTTGCATATTTATGTAGCAGTAATGCTAGTATTTTTGGTGGTTTCAGGACTCCCAAGTGTTTGGATAACAAGAAGATCTTTCTTTTGAGTCTCTTAAAATCAATGATTTTTCTATTCATTGATAATAGAAATTAAAGGACAAATTTATTTTTTTATTTATTTATTTATTTAGTATCTTTTCAAGCTACCATAAAATATTCGTATGAGATGTAACCTATGAAGTACGGACACTTTTATGAATAAGTCATGTTGTGTCCGTGTCGGATACCGATACCCGTTAAATATTACGTGATACTAAATATAAGTGTTCGTAAATAAAAATAAATTTTTATTATTTTTGATACAATTTTTATTGTTTTTGACACATTTTCGACGCTTCTAGACATTTTACCGACACTTCTTGAACACTTAGACCGACACTTTCAAACATTTATATCACAAGTCTACCCGGTAATTTTGAAAATAATATGTTTACATTCTAAAGTGTTTAACATTTTTCTTTAATAAAAATTAACATTATACACATGTGATAACAAGCGAATCACTAAATGATATTTGTTCATTTAAAATAAAAATACTTTTATGACAAAGTAGTGCAATAACGATATATATATATATATATATATATATAGAAAATAATATGTTTACATTCTAAAGTGTTTAACATTTTTCTTTAATAAAAATTAACATTATACACATGTGATAACAAGCGAAGCACTAAATGATATTTGTTCATTTAAAATAAAAATACTATTATGACCTTAAATGAACAAATATCATATATATATATATATATATATATATATATAAAAGTCATTACTCTTAATATAAAATTAGAAATGAATTAAAGTTTTATAATATTATTACTCAATACATGTATATAAATAAATATTTATATTTATATATAGTCATGTCCAAGTCGTACCCTGATTATACTTTTTAAAAATTTGACGCGTCGACGTATTCGTGTGCATGCTACATAGGATGTAACGATTAGTAGTTTGGTTAGTGAGGTTAGGGAGTTAGAGATTAAAGGTGGAACATAAATAATATTGGTGGGTTTCGAATACTATGATTATTAAGAGGATGTAGTTAAGAAGAAAATTTTAATTGGGTGTTTGTATTAGTGACTTGGTATCATCACCCCTTACTGATAGGACTTACTAAAATAAAGCACTTTTATTTTCATGTGATATTTGATTGATAACACAAATAACAAAATATTAAACGTGCAAAGAAATCTTTCTCATGATAAGGATTCGTTTAGTAATATTTTTGTTTTCTATTTTTGTACTTAATTTCTCAAATATAGGCAACAGAAGTATACACTCGGAACCAAACACATACTAAACTACTTCGCTCCATTTGTGATTGCCTTTCTTTCTTGACGTCTTACACCATACTTGAAGAGATGGAAATTCATAAGGGATGAATGATGATTCATCCATCGTTTGTTTTTTTTGTTTTTTAGCACGAAGGAAATTTGTTTATTCCTTCTTATCTTTTCCCTCTCCCTTCCATCCTACCAAACTAAGCATTAAAGTTTGATATATTATGAAACATATCCTAGTGCAAATATATATATATATATATATATATATATATATATATATATATATATATATATATATATTTCCTAGTTGGTACTCACACACACTTGTTTCTTTTAAGATTTGAACTCATGATCTCCCTTTAGGAAGTAAGAGACTGATATCGCTAGGTCACTGGCAAATAACCTAGCCAGTCATGACTTTGAATGAATGAGCCATGCGTGCGCCTTTTATACGTATTCCATTGTCCTTATACCTAACTTAGTGCATGAATAGTGATAAAAAGTAAGATGTGCTAAATTTTCTCAAGATTTATACAAATTAATGTTCTATTTTTGCATCAAAATTATATAGAATATAAGATAAAATTGTATTCACATACATCAAACTTTTATCCAACAAGATTATATATTTTGCATGACACACTGTCGATTCCTATTCTTATTTTAACTCGTTGTATCTTTCAATAGATCTCCACAAGACACCTTAAAAAAAAATCGTTGCACAACACAGAAAAAACTCATTCTGAAGCAAGAATTTATTTTCATCCGTTACCTGTGCAAGATAAAAAATAAAATATAAAATATAAAAATATAAAAAATAGTATGAACTCAAAATCTTGGAAGAACATCCTGTAAGATTATTTATTTAATTGTGGCCCACATGATTTGGACATGTGACATATTACTTCGTGACTAAGTAAATAGATATCAATTAATATTATTTATTTATGGTCAACTTATAATTACCTTTTTGGTAATTACTTATTGGAGAAGTGTTTTCTTTTCTTATTTCTTACTTTGATGGAAAGTAGAATTATGTTACTAATAGGAAAACTGGTCCTCTCTCTGCCTTTATAAAAGTGCATATACTCCATCAATTATGTACGCTAATGAAAACAAGTAAAAATTTTATGTGTGCAAAAGGTCAAAAGAGAGAAACCAGTTTCCACCTTTGCCTGTTGATCAGAGTTGCAGATTAGTTCGTGGCCAAAGGATCTGGACTTTGGACTTAATCTCAACAAGAATTGATATTGTGAATCGAGGTATTTATATCTAACTAGTATTTATTTATGCATTATAGATATGTGAAAATCATGAAGTTCTAAGATATGGGATTAATGTAAATTTGTGATTAATGGCTTAACACGAATTATTATAGTTTACATGTGGTATCAGAGCTAACGGTTTAGGAACTCATTATTTTTCATTAAAGTTGCATAAATAATATGTATAATTTTAAAATTAAATGATTGTATAATCCATTCTTTTAGAATCGTATGTTTAGATCAGTCCGTGTGGTTTTTGGGTTTAGGTACCTCAATTTCTGAGCCAAAATTGAATTATGAAAGTTGGTTACTGATACATAGTTTACATATGTGTAATAGTACAAATGTATGCATAATGTGTGTAAGACAAACAACTTCAATGCTTTAGGTTACTGATTTTCGTGCATGACTAATAAAGAACATTGAATTAAAAAAATAATAATAATAATAGCATTTGTCTTGCTATTGTTTTATAGAAACAGTAAGTTGTGAAAGGATTAGAAAGACTCATTATTATTATTATTTAAAAATTAATAAATACATAAAGTTTGTGTATCTATTTATTTTATTAAAGAGGTTTAAATTATTGTTATAAGTATTTGTCCAATGATTTGAAGATTCTAATTTTAATTTAAAATAAATTAAAATTAAAGTTATTGAATACATAAAATATATGTATTGATTTATTTATTTTAGGAATTTGAATTTCTAGAATAATTTGTGAGTTTAGAAATTTAATCTAATAAATTAAACATGTAAATAACTTATTGTTTCGTACCCAAACATACATACATATTGTAGAATCAATTTTAAATTGATTCAATTGTGATCTTTAAGTCCGAAAATAAAATAATATATTTTATGATGTATATAAAATAAAAAGATATTTTCTATGAAATTTCGGACTATTAAGGTTTTGAGATCGAAGTTGCTTAAACTTTAATCGACAATTATGAGTATGTGTGTATAATGTTAAATGGGTAAATTAATAATTAATTAATTACTAATTAATTTAATATTCATATTATGTGTGGGTTAATAGTTACCAAAGTGGCCTAACCATAATGGTCGATGAATATTAATTTTAGTAGTAAATATAACTTAATGATGAATTAATTACTGTCCAATTTAATATTCATATTATGTGAAGATTGGTAGCTACTAAAGTGCCCAATCATAATGATTGATGAATATTAATTTTTGTAATAGACATAATTAATCATAAATTAGCTACTATCTAATTTAATATTCATATTATGTAAAGGTTGGTAGCTACCAAAATGGCCTAACCATAATAGTTGATAAATATTAATTTTAGTAGTAAACATAATTGCAATATTTCATGAATTATGATGCTTATAATTTTTTGTGATATTCATGAATATTGATTTTATTTAATTATGAGAAATAATTCCTCAAAGGGAATTGATTTTCAAATGATTAAATAAAAATTAAAGGGTCGTATGTATTTTTTTTTTAATTAGGTAAATATAGGATATCCAAAGGTAACTTATTTGTTTAATTAAATAATGTATCACCAATAAAGGTATACATATAAATACATGTAAGCATCATTATTAGTATTTTATAGTTGCCACCCAAAGGGGTACTATAGTTATACATTGTATTTATATTTTTAAGTTATACATACGTGTTGTTAACTCAAAGCATTATTATTATTAAGATTTTATCTTATTATATTTATTTTATTACATCCTTTAATGCGCATGCTATATCTGTTCTGATTCTCAATATTACTAACTTCTCATAATGAAATGAGTAAGTTGAGTTCAAAATTTAGATGTGTTAAATCTTAATTTAACATTTTAAATTGAAGAACTTACTGTTATTACTGATAAAAATAGTGAGGAAGAAAAGATTATCCATAAAAGCTTGGGAGAGATCGAACAGATTAAGCATTATGGTTATGCGAATAATTGTTCCTCATAGTTATAGTGCTAAGGAATATTTTGACTAGAAGAATGTTTCCGTATTATAAATAAATATCTAAAACGAAAATTATTAATTGATATCACTACTATGCATTTTTGTTGGTACTCTTACCATGTATGGGTATGTTCTTAGGATGACTAATGTTGCTACCAAATTGAGAACCTTATAGATGATTGTGGATAAGAATTTTCTTATTCAATTTATTCTCAATTTCTTATCTATTCAGTATGGGTTATTTCGAATTAACACTATTAAGATAAGTGGAAAGTGATTTAATTGACCATTATGTTAATTTATGAGGAGACAAAACTTAAGTAGCAAGGTAATCATTATGTTCATCTGACGACTCAAGAAGTTAGAAAGAAATTTGGGAATAAGTCAGAAAAGACAATAAGTGAGCAACACCCAAAATTAAAAGATTTAGGTCAATCTACTAAAAGAAAGTAATGTAATAATGAAAAAGTGTCATTAATGAATTGAACACTTTTAGAAAGATTACATGACATATAAAGAATGATTCGAAAAAGAAAAGTACGCTTTTGGCTTTTGTATATTACGAATTACTTGTTGAAGTTCTTTTTAATACATGATAGGTTGACTTAAGTACTAATATTTATGTTTCTAATATATGCAAGAATTTTTTATGGCCTAAACCACAAATTCAAATAAGAATTTCTTATTTATAATAATTGGGAAAAAGTTTTGTTGAAACCATTGTGACACTATGTTTAATGTTAGACAATGGATTTTATTTAAATTATTTTAAAAATTTTATGTTTATTCAATTTCCCATAATTTGATTTTATTTCAAAAACTTTATGCTAATGGTTTTTCATTTAAATTTGGTAATGATATTTATTTAAGAAATTATAATTTGTGAGTTATGGCATTATTGTTGATGATTTCTGTAAATTCAAATTTGATGGTTTATTTATTAAAATCTTTTTGATCTTGTATCTTAATGTTAGAATTAAGCGTATCTCAATTAATAGAAAATTTATCTTTGGCATAAAAGACTAGGTCAATATCTAGTGAAATGTTAGGAAAATTAGTAAAGGATGTGATTCTTCTGAATCTAAACTTTACTGATTTTGATGTGTGTGTAGATTGTATTAAGGGTAAACAAACTAAACGCACAAAGAAATGAGCCACAATAAGTACATAACTTCTTGAAATTATTTGTAAACCTTCTGATGTTCCATCTTTTGGAGGAGAAAAGTATTTTATCGCCTTTATAGTTGTTTTTCACGTTATGGATATATCTATTTGTTGAATGAAAAATCTCAAACAGTGGGTACTCTTGAAGTATACATAAATGAGATTAAAAAACAACTAGATAGAAAGTGAAAATCATAAGGTCATATAGAGGTGGTGAATATTATGTAAAGTATGATGAAACAGGTTAATACTTTAACCGTTTGTTAAACTCCTTGAAATGTATGCCATTTGTGTTCAATACACTTTGTTATATATGCCACAGTAAAAGCGTGTAACTGTAAGGCTTAATCGTACTCTTATGGAATTGGTTAGGAGTATGTTAAGTAATTCCTCGTTACCCATAATGTTGTGGATATTAAGTAATCTAAAGGGTACAAGTTTTACTATCCGAAACATAGTACAATAATTATTGAAACCGGTAATGTCAGATTCATTAAGAATGGTGAAATCAGTGGGAGTGATAAAAATAAGAATTTGATCATTTCAGAAGTTAGGGTACAAATATCTTTACTCATAACTTATAAGGAAATAATTGTTTCTTCAGTTGTTGAACCGTATAACAACGAAGAACAATTAAATGATCAACAACTCTATAATGAGATTGTCACCAATGAATAGATTGTAGAAGAATCATAAGGAATAACATTAAGACGATCTCAAAGAGAAAGGAGATCTGCTATTCCGGATGATTATGTGATGTATCTGCAAGAATCTGATTTTGATATATAGTGAGATATATACGGATCCGGTTACATATTCACAAGCCATTAACAGTAATGATTTTACTAAATGGATCAGGGTCATGAATGAAGAGATTATAAAGATATTCTCTCTAGTATTTAAGAAGAAATCTTTTAAAATATCATGGCATTAGTAACTTATTATGATTTAGAGTTACATCAAATGGATGTGAATACAATTTTTATAAATAGGAGTTTATAAGAGGAAGTCCATATGGAACAACTTGAAGACTTCATATTAGAGGGTAAAGAATTCATGGTCCGTAAACTTAAGATGTCAATATATGGATTTAAACAAGCTTCTTAACAATGGTATATTAGGTTTAATGATACCATTATTTCTTTTGGTTTTAAAAAAAACACTGTTGATCAGTGTATATACTAGAATGTTAGTGGGAGTAAGTTTATATTTCTGATTCTATATATTGATGATATTTTATTTGTTAGTAGTGATCTTAGTTTATTATATGAAACTAAAAGTTATCTCTAAGAACTTTGAAATGAAATATATGGATGAAGCATCCTATGTGATAGGAATAGAAATATTTCATTATAGATCCCATTGATTTGTTTTTAGAATTGTCTCATAAAGTATATATTAAAAGAGTTCTAGAAGATTTGGTTGGAGGAACAATATTATGAAAAAGTGCAAAGTAATTTATGATTACTTTGTCTATTATGAAATTTTAATTTGTAACATGCTTTGAGGTTATAATTTATGGTTGCAGAATTTATTTCAGGACTTGGAGTTATGGGTACCGTTTTCAGATTGCTGAAAATTTATGCTGCAATTGTTGATCTTCTTGTATGAAAAATGATAGGTATTCTAAAGTTGAAATACTTTATCATTAAAGAAGATACTTAGAAACAACAAATGTCTATTGAAATTATAAGCACACAACTTATGATTGCAATCCATTAATGAATGGACTACCACCCAAGACATTTATGGAACATGTTAAAAGAATGGGTCTTGAACGTAGTCAATGATGATTATTTTTTAATTGTGGATTGCTTAACAGTGCTTATATATATTTGACATTTTGCGCTCATTAAATGTGTTTCTGATATTTCCTATTAATTAATGTACATGTACGTATTGCTTTAATAAGTGGTAATAGGAATAGTCTTGGAAAAGACATTATTGTTAGATCATTATTGATACTTCTCATTTATAAACTATGTTGAATAGATTACTAGTGTTGTGGTACATGGAAGGGACTGTGTCATTTAAGGACATACAACCGCCATGACTCACATTAGTAGTTTATTTACCATAGTATTTATGATGACCAACTTAATACCTTAATTTGATTTATGGTGCACACTAATGACTATTTTACTAAACCACTACAAAAGTTATCATATGTGCCAAGTGGGAGAATGTAAGATTATTTATTTAATTGTGGCCCACATGATTTGGACATGTGACATATTACTTCGTGGCTAAGTAAATAGATATCAATTAATATTATTTATTTATGGTCAACTTATAATTACCTTTTTGGTAATTACTTATTGGAGAAGTTTTTTCCTTTCTTATTTCTTACTTTGATGGAAAGTAGAATTATGTTACTAATAGGAAAACTGGTCATCTCTCTGCCTTTATAAAAGTGCATATACTCTATCAATTATGTACGCTAATGAAAACAACACGTAAAAATTTTATGTGTGCAAAAGGTCAAAAGAGAGAAACCAGTTTCTACCTTTGCCTGTTGATCAGAGTTGCAGATTAGTTCGTGGCCAAAGGATTTGGACGTTGGACTTAATCTCAACAAGAATTAATATTGTGAATCGAGGTATTTATATCTAACTAGTATTTATTTATGCATTATAGATATGTGAAAATCTTGAAGTTCTAAGATATGGGATTCATGTAAATTTGTGATTAATGGCTTAACACGAATTATTATAGTTTACACATTCACCAGCTAATCTATTTATACAGAAACGCTCTCATTCAAGAAGGATTCCGGACAATGTCGATCATGGATGAGAAACTCGACTGCAGAGAAATCAACGGTGGATTCTTCTCCAAGCTAAGGAAAACAATACAGCAAAAAAGCATTAATATTCTATCATTAGAAAGAACCGTTGGCTGCACAACACTAGTTAAAAATTAAAATGTTCATTTCTGAATTTCATGGTAGATTAAGTAATCACCGGTTTACTAAATAACTCATGGCTTAAATATTCTTCTACATTTCCACACTCAATCAGATAAATCTTGACAATGATGACTGAATATTATTGACTAATAACAGAACTTTTGACGATTCACTTACAGCCTTGTGGGATATTATCCGTCCTCACAAACAGAAAAATTGTTCAATATTATGTTACAAATGCGGCATGTTTTAAAGCACTTGATCATCTCTACCACCAGTCTTGAGTATTTACCGCAATTTGACAGAAAGCAAGGCTTCGAAACAAAACCAGATTTAGCTTAAACATCTAGAGAAGCAGAAGCTGTATATTTCAGAATAGCCGCAGCAATCCTCTGTTTGTCTCTAGTTGGGAATGCTTCCAATAGGGTCCCATCTTTATAGAATTGGAACAGTGGCACTGCCTACATCAATTCAGGAACTTATCAATTCCAGTGGGAAACTATGTTTTAAGAAAATAATAATAATAATAATAATAATAATAAAAGAAAAAAAGAAAAAGAATAACAGAAGGTTCATTGATTACAATGGCAAGAAGATAACAAGAAAGTGCATCTTCCATGAGAATGCACATGAATATTGTAGCAGTAAACCAATGATTATAATCAAGTCACTAATCACTCTCATCCAGAAAAACAACCAATAATAATAATAAATAAATAAAAACACAATTGTAAAATCTGGCATCTCCATTCATCGGTATATGCATTCTCAGATTTATAATTTAGATCCATTAGTTTACAAATTTCTACAAATTACAAATGTTTGGACATATATTACGTATTGAAAAATAGTTCAACACAAAATGTTTGAACATGTTGAAGCTTTTGTAATCCACAAAACCCAAATGTCAATAAATGACCAACATCTTCAATCCCAAGATAAAATATCCAAAATTCTTATAGCAAAACCACATCGATGACAAGATAAGACGACAGTTGCTAACAGAACGATTACCTTGATTCTAAGTCGTTCAGCAACCTCAGATTGATCATCATATTCGTCGATTACCTGTGAAAATTAGCATAAATCAGAACATCATACTCATTTCTATTACCAAATAAGAAAATAATTGCTAATCCCAACAACCAATTAAATTTCCAACTTCCCACCATTGCAAGGTGTTCAACAAGTATTTTCTCTAAACATCCTTCTATAATGTAAACACAAATTTGAAGTGAATGAAATTACTCACATTGTGCTTCAAGAAGATAACAGCATCTTCTTGATCACCAGCTCCTCTGCATAATTTCGAAAAAATCTGCTCTATATACTTGCAGCTGCCACAAGCAGTGCGATAAAAATCAACTACAACTAAAGAATTAGTTTCCTTGGCTTTTTCCAGAATTCTGAAGAACTCTTCGTCAGTCCTAAATTCTCTGACACATTCAGCAGGACAAATATCATCATCTTCATCAGATAATTCTTCGAGATTTTCATTAGCCACGCTTTTGATCTTCGCATATTGAAATGTGCGACTGTTTTTAACAAAATCCAGTGTCTCCAAACCTTCACTTCTGATGATAACTGGAAATTTTGCCTTCAATCGGCATGATTTAATGAGACTTCGATCTGGTAGTGAATTGGGAACCATTGAGGGAATTCTAAAATCATGTGGTCCATCTGAGTTTCTTCCAAAACTGAAAGAGGACTTCTGATAAAGAATACTCTTGTTTTGCATGACAGCATATGACAGACCTCCAGAATAGAAGCTGGTATTATGCTTAGAACAAAGAACTTCCGAGATAAAATTTTGACATGCATTAGCTAATACTTCATATGAAAAAGCATTTGATTCTCAGAAAATAAATTCTTTACATTAGCATCCCATTCCCTGAGGCAAGGAATGTGAAAAAATTGATAACCATCCCTGTAAAAAACATGGCAGATGAAAGTATTAGAACCTTTCATGGTCAATATATTAAACAAATTTGTGCACCAATGACAAACAAATTCTTGCTAGGCACTACATTATTTGCAGTGATTTTCTACCTTAGCATGATAATATATATACATATATATATATATGCATATATATATTGGTAAAAACATCAAATTTCGCATGAATATAAAAGCAATATAAGTTACTCACATCTTAATGTTATGATAGACTAGAAAAAAATGTTTTTAATGTGCAACCAGCTATTTGGAACAGCACTTCAGGCCTCTCTTATTTCAACTATTATGTAATTTAGAATCACTCCACTACCACTTTCATATTGCAAACCAAATAACTCCACAGCTGCTCATTTCAGTACTTCCAGTGCATAAAGAGGAATACATACGAGCCCAGAACCAGTATGTCTAAATGCAGCAGTGTTAGGGATCATTCAGGCTATTGCATATACATAGATATTCGTCTATTTATCTATATATAGCTAGAACCTCAAGGATGTTGCCTAGAATTTCATGGACCAAATGAGACAGGCACTTGTTCTAGCTAGCTACAAAAACCTTCTGCCAGAGAAACCCTAGTAAAAATCTTTCACTTTTAATGTACCAATTTTGTTGCTGATTTAAAAGCATATGACAAATGACTCAAAACAAATACAAAAGGAACTAAATTAGACTCTCCCATTAGTCTGTAAACTTCAATCCTATAATCCTAAATGTTGGTAACAACCCGAGCAGACACAATCATGCACCACTCTAGTATCTATAACAATGAAAGTTGCTTATGCAATTGAATATCATTTACAACTCAGTGACTTGTGCATTAGCCATGGTAAAAAGAAAACCTACAGATGGAAAACCAGGTACTAATACGATTTTAAGCCCAAATTCAAGTAATTTTTGTTAGAAAAGATTTCATTATATCCATGGAAATGGCGGATCTCAATTACTTACAGTTAATGATAGTGTTAACAAACAGCTCTTCAAAAAGCTTAAATTGCTAATAAATGGACCCAATATTACATACCACTCTCTAACAACAATGTATATCCAGCTCCAACACTCTCTCACTTGTGACCTCGTTTCTCAAAGCGGAGAGGTAGACAAACAGGCGAGAATGGGCAGTAAAATGCAAACAGTGAGAATTGAAACAAGACATCCATAATAAAGAAGAGATTTGATATTATGTTAGACAATCAATTTCCCCCTAAAAATTTGAGAGTTCGAGTCCTGTGAGGGACAATATTGCGGGTGGGTGTGCATTTGCTTGAACTTTTGGGAAAAAAAAAATTAAAAAAAAAAAAAAAAAACCCCTCACCGTGTGCCCAAAAAAACTCAAGACCTGTTTGCCCAAACACCTTGTTAACAGCCCACTTCTCCAAAAATTCAAGCTAGTAAATCTAAGAGTTCTAGGAAACAAAGCTTAAGCTGGTAGAGAATCGTGTAACATTGTATTTATATATTAATCATTCCTACAAGGTACATGATCAACGCCATAAACAAGAAATAAAACACTATTTGACGTAAAATAAGGATCAAAATATCTATGTTAACTTTGATGAATTGGACATGGGTTCACAACCATACTGGTCCAGAAAGAAGCAGAGTTTGCAATGAAAGAAACTGAAATGCAGATAATAAAAGAACAACAACAAATTAATATTCATGGGAAGAAAACACAGAAGATTTCGAGGTTTTGATAATAGCATTTTGATGACTGAATTTCAAATGGTAAATTGATGGGAATTAGCAACACTTACCCGTGAATGTTATCATCCTTTCTGGAAGTATCCTCGCGGCCGATATCTGAAGGAGAGTGGTTTCAGATGAGAAAATGACTTGATAGACTATTCTCCTTCACACATTTACGTGCTTTTTTCGTATTTTAATTGTTATTTATTTATTTTATAATTTTTATAAAAAAAAATATTTTAATTGTTATTTATTTATTTTATAATTTTTATATAAAAAAATGATTGGATATTGAGGACTGTCACATTATTCTCTAATTTCATTTCATTCACTACCCTCCATAGATTTTTACATATAAATGTACTTATGAATCTATATTTACACTATAATGTAGTAAAAGTCATATAATTTCAAAAAACATAAAAATTGATCAAATGACGTGGATATGAACTTTCCTTGTTTACTATAATTTGTTATCCAAAGTAACCTTTCACTTTTTGAACCGAATTACCATAATGCCCTATTTCATTAATTCACCCAAACAAAGTCCAAAATTTCTTTTTAGGGCACTGATTGTGTTCATGCTGCCGCCGCTTCTTTCTTCCATCAGATATGCATTACCCATATGTGCCTCCCCAACGGTAACAAATTCCTCTACTCCAATGAGCAGAAGCTCTTCATCGCCTTCCATCCACATCCCATGCAAATGTTGTTCCGCTCATACAAAACAAAGCAACAAAAACAAGCCACTGGTCCGTCTCGTATGGCTCGAAACAACGAGGCCAAAGTGATAAGGTCACCTGGCTTCTTGAAGCCTGAGGCTTTGGTTCGATATTTGGGGAAAATGGACTCGAGACACAACAACAACAATTGCAGACTTTTAGCTTTCAAAAAAAAAAAAAATTGCAGACTTACTGGGTTTCTATATGGTTTTCCTCCATCTCTCTCTATTTGGTTTTCCTCGATCAGACATGGTTGGTTCTATATATATATATCATTAACCTTGTGTTTAATTTATTGAAGATGTGGTTGCTCTCCAGGAAGGAATCAACTAAAATTTGATGCGGAAGATACATGTTTACCTGGGCAGTTCATGCCGGAGGCCGAGATACATATATGATTGTGTAATGTATATCTGAAGACTGAATGGAGGAGAAGCAGCGGCGGCGGGGAATGAACACGTCAGTGCCCTAACAAAAATTATAGGCTTTGTTTGGGCGAATTAATCAAATGGGGCAGTATGGTAATTTGGTTTAAAAAATGAAAAGGTTATTTTGGACAATAAATTATAGTGAACAGTAAAAATTCACCTCCACATCATTAATTTGGTAAACTCCATTTTTTTAAAAACTAAGAAAATTTAACTACATCATAACGTAAATATGAGCTCATAAGTGCGTTTTATATATAAAAACTTTTTATTTTTATTATCATTATCATTATCATTTTGTGTAAATCAATGTTATACCCTCTCCGTCCTATATTAATAGTCCATTATCTCATTTTTTGTTGTCCCATTTTAGTTATCACATTTCAAAAATCAATACACTTTTTTTTATTACTCCTAATTTATCCCTAAAAGATTAAACTAATTAAAATTTCAAAATAAGTGGATCCCATTACAAATAACTTTTTCATACTACTTTTACCAATATAATAAGTGGACCCCATTAAAAATAACTTTTCCATCCTACTTTTACAAATTTTTAGGAAGGACAAATTTGAAAATGCATCATTTACTAATGTAATAAACTATGTTAAAAAAAATTGCCTTAAAAACTGTACAATATGATTTGGACAATTATAAAGGGACAGAGGTAATATTAAAAGAGAAATAATTGTAAAAGGAGGTCCAAAGGCAAAAGCAAAACAAGTAAGAGCAACCTCAAGCAAAAGCCCAAAAGCAACAACAAAATAAAAGAACCAAATCACATACCTAACCCAAGCCCAATAAATCCTAACCCAGTTTCATGATCAAGAGAGGGCAGCCAAAATTGAAAACCAGAGAGACACACTCAAGGACGAAGGCAATGTATAGTCAGTGGGCCAATTGCCCCCACTAAAATTATTTTTTTACCATTATATATCACAATTTTTTTTCTTTTCTTTTTTTTTTTTAATTTCAATTATATACCTATGAAATATTTATGTTGCCCCTTGAAATTACAAGAAAAATTCAGTTTTGTCCACTCACACTACTTGTTGGATCCGTCCTTGGAGGCACTAATTAGTAAAGATGATTGTGCTTGGGAGGTTCCAAGACGCTGCAATATTCCTAGAGCTTTTGCAGTCGAGGAGTTTGATTAAGAAGGCGACTTCTAACGCTGTCAAAGATCAATTTTTGAATAACTTCAACAAAGGCATTTTTCCCACTGAAGATGCGATTGTTTCTTTCCTTCCATAGGAAATAGATACAGCAATTGAAGCAGAGCTTGTAGATATACGCGTTGTCAGCATTTCTATTTGGGCTTCATAAGGAGGTGATCCAAGCTACGATTGAAAGGTAATTGAGGTCACCATATTGAAAGAACCCCCAAATCTCAGAGGAGAATGGGCAATTGAAGAAAAGATGCATGTGGGATTCGACTCCATTAGAGCAGAGGGTGCATGAAGTAGAGGTATTCGACCCCAATACTCTTACCATCTTTGGTCTTGAGTCTAGAATTAAGGGCCAACCAAGTGATGAACAATTGCCGGGGAATGTGATTCGTGAACCAGACGATAGAGGACCAAATGAGAAGAATCGAAGGCTTGCTCCCTCATAATAGTTATATATTTAATTTTTTTTTTTCCAACCAAACAAACAACACTACATTAGAGTTGTACACAGAGATGCTGCAAATACAAAGGCATTCCAAGCCCTCCATATTAGCTTCAGACAAAGCGAAGCATTATAAAACAACCCAAGACTAAAAGATTGGGGAACCCATATCCTCTGCACCGCGGGCACATAATACCTTTTCACCCAGCAAACCAATAGCATTTGGACCACATGGTCAGGCCCATTTTGCTTCCCCACTGCCTGTCTTTGGATGGACATCATTCTTATCAACATACAGAAGTGGTTGGCCTACATGATTAGAACAACCTTTCCTTACGTCTTCCCCATGCACCTGAAGACTAATTAACCTATGGTCCACAGTCTGACTCCACACAATAGCACACGAAACTCGAGGACAACTTTGGTGCATATGAGGAACAAACAAAGGGCAACAAGATATTGCTGGCAAGCCACCACTGGCGGGAAATCTAATTACAACAGAAGCAATATAAAACCACCACCAAAACACAGAGAACAGCAAAAATTACACGCCTTAGATTCAAACCATCAGGACAATGTATTCCAGCAACATCCAGCCACGACCCAAAGTCAATGGCGACCAGAATAGACTCAACACTGACCGGAGTAACAGGGGTTGCTGTAGAAATCCGTCCAACTCGCAAAATCTTTAAAGTATTTAAAATAAATAAAGAGAATAAAGCTGTATTAAGAGGGTAAAAAGCTCACTTGTATTATCACTGCTTTGTGAATATATACAGAGTTACAATGAGACTATCTATAGAAAGTTTACAATAAATTTGAATTTGAAAAATATGCTAAACCATAGGAGTGATAAATGGCTTAATCAATTCTACAGAAATGTTTTACGTGGCCCTAAGATCATGGAGGAAATAAGGAATGTGCTGGAATGATTTTTCCTTGATTGGAGGAATTATCATCTATACGCCCCCACAAGATGGTGCTTCCATTAGAAATACCAATCTTGGATCGTAAGAGTGAAAATCGTTGCCTTGAAAGAGGCTTTGTAAGAGCATCAGCAAGTTGATCAGTTGTGGATACAAGAGAAACTTGAAGCAATCCTTTTGAGACTTTGTCGCGTACAAAATGATAGTCAATAGCAATATGTTTCATGCGTGAGTAAAAAACTAGATTAACACAAAGATATGTTGCACCAACATTATCACATAAGATAACAGGATGTTTTGTGAGTGAGACTCCAAACTCATTAAGAACAGATTGAACCTAAGATAATTCTGTTGTAGTGGCAGCAACAGCCCGGTATTCAGCTTCAGTAGAGGATCGAACAATGGATCTTTGCTTCCTTGAACTCCATGAAATTAGATTACCACTTAGATAAACAATGTAGGTAGTTGTGGAGGTACGATCATCACGATTTTCGGCCCAATCGGCATCAGAATAAGCATGCAAAAAAGGAGTAGCATGACGTTTGAGAAAAACACCATGATGAATAGTTCCTTTGAGGTAACGAAGAAGCCTTTTAGCAACAGTCTAATGTATCTGAGAGGGCTTATGCATGAATTGTGAAAGTTTGTTGACAGCATAGGCGATGTATGGTCTTGTAATGGATAAATACTGTAGAGCACCAATGACATTACGAAATTCAGTTGGATTGGCAGGTGAAGATCCATCCTGAAGTACAAGAGAACCCGTAGTAGATAAAGGTGTGCTAACCTCTTTTGCACTAGACATGTGAGTGCGGTCCAAGAGGTCTCGAATGTATTTATGTTGGGTGAGAAATAAACTAGTGGAATAATCGGTCGATCAACTAACATCAACCTTCGCAATAGCACGAATCATTGTAAAATAGGGCTATTGGTCGGGTAAGTCGAACCACTGGGACTGCGCTAGTCTATGGCAACCTAAGTGTCTAGAATTGTTCTTAGAATGATAAGGGGTTTATAGAGGGTTTTGGTTGTTTGTCACTTAAACTTAGAACTTAGAATGCATAAAATAGTAGTGCTAGTAAATGAGAGTTAGAGATAATAAAAGGGGAAACTAGAGAAGTGAATCCACCTACGCCCTAAATACATGCTAAATCAAGACTAAATTGGGGATAAACACTATATAAGCAATGATCAAGAATTATGTAGCAACACATAGTTGCTTCATAACCAATAAAAAGTTCATGAGATTAAAACAAGAATGGTCTATCAAAAGACAACACATTTGGACTACCTAGACTAGGGTGTAGTATCAAATACATTAACTTAAGCAAAAGACCATCAAGCATTCAATCAAATGATGAAGCACAT